CTGCTGATTACCCAGTTGATAAGCTTTCTTGTTATGTATCTGATGATGGAGGTGCTCTTCTGACATTTGAGGCCATGGCAGAAGCTGCAAGTTTTGCAAACTTGTGGGTACCATTCTGCCGAAAACATGAGATTGAACCAAGAAATCCAGAATCTTACTTTAGCCTGAAAAAGGATCCCTACAAGAATAAGGTGCGCCCAGATTTTGTCAAGGATCGTAGAAGGGTTAAACGTGAATATGACGAATTCAAGGTTCGAATCAATGGGCTTCCTGACTCAATTCGTCGTCGTTCTGATGCCTATAATGCACGTGAAGAAATAAAGGCCATGAAGCTTCAGAGAGAGACTGCTGGGAATGAACCAATGGAACCGGTGAAAGTCCGTAAAGCCACATGGATGGCAGATGGAACCCACTGGCCTGGCACTTGGGTGGTTTCTGCTCCTGAGCACTCTAGAGGTGATCATGCAGGAATTATTCAGGTACGTTCTTACTACAGAGAACTGATGTGGGGCTTTTGGCAGTAGGTCCCCCTCTGCCATTAGCTCACTTGATAACTTATTCTAGAATCTAGACATCTTCTCTTACTAAGTTATGCTTATTGCAGTTGGTGTTTAGATGAATTTAGACTTCGTCTGCCATTTATTGATGCTTTCTGGTTATTTCATGTTTGTCCAATTAATTGGTATTTGGAGGACTGAAGTGCTTTCTCCTACTATTTATTCACTGTTCAAGTCCTTGGACTTTCCTCTGGATGATCAATGTCTATGGTTGTGTAACGATGCATCATGGATTACTGCCATCTGCTGAGTCTGTCATGTAGCTTGATCCACAATTATTTACTTTTTTGTACTATCTTGTTGGACAATTTGTGTCAAATTATTCTTCAAATGGTGTTGTTGTAGAACACTTTGTCTAGGTCTGCTTTTAGTGGCATCATCTGCAGTTTGGCATCTTCAATGTTTAACCAAACGCCACCTCATAAAATTTTGTGGAAAGGCTCGTTATATGTTTAATCATATGAATGTGTAAAAGTGATGCTTTATGGGGCAACTAGGCCCCTTTGATGGGTCATGTGGCCCGTTTGAAAGCACATTATCAGTTTTTTGTATCTTTAAGAGTACAAACTATACTATATGCTGTTGATTAGCTTACTAGAAATCTTGTTCTGCAGGTAATGTTAAAACCTCCAAGTGATGAACCTCTACACGGAACAACCGTTGACAATAGTCCACTTGATTTTACCGAAGTTGACATTCGGCTTCCCATGCTTGTCTATCTTTCACGTGAAAAGCGACCTGGATATGATCACAATAAGAAGGCTGGGGCAATGAATGCATTGGTTCGAGCCTCAGCCATCATGTCCAATGGCCCTTTCATACTTAACCTCGACTGTGATCACTACATCTACAACTCTGAGGCAGTAAGAGAAGGCATGTGTTTTATGATGGACCGAGGTGGAGACCGCATTTGTTACGTCCAGTTTCCTCAGAGATTCGAAGGAATAGATCCATCTGACCGCTACGCAAATCACAACACCGTTTTCTTCGATGTTAACATGAGGGCTTTAGATGGGCTTCAGGGTCCAGTTTATGTGGGCACTGGGTGCCTCTTTCGCAGGACTGCCCTTTATGGTTTTGATCCACCACGGTCAAAAGATTACCACTCGGGCTGCTGCAGCTGCTGTTTTCCTCGTCCTAAGGAAGGTGTTTCTATTTCTTCTGCACCTGATGAGCATCGCGGACTTAGAATGGGGGATTCTGATGATGAGCAAATGAATCCTTCTCTTTATTCTAAAAGATTTGGAAATTCAAGTTTCCTTGTTGATTCTATTCCAGTGGCAGAATTCCAAGGCAGGCCACTAGCTGATCACCCTGCGGTGAAGAATGGACGACCTCCTGGTGCTCTAACCATACCTAGGGAACTCCTCGATGCGTCTACTGTTGCTGAAGCAATTAGCGTCATCTCATGTTGGTATGAAGATAAAACTGAGTGGGGCAATCGGGTTGGGTGGATTTATGGATCTGTGACTGAAGATGTGGTAACTGGTTATAGAATGCACAATCGAGGTTGGCGATCTATATATTGTGTCACTAAAAGGGATGCTTTCCGTGGCACTGCACCAATAAATCTGACAGACAGGCTTCACCAAGTCCTTCGATGGGCCACTGGTTCTGTCGAGATTTTCTTCTCGCGCAATAATGCGTTACTGGCTAGTCCCAAGATGAAGCTTCTACAGAGAATTGCTTACCTTAATGTCGGTATATATCCTTTCACTTCTGTGTTTCTCATTGTCTACTGCTTCCTCCCTGCGCTGTCGCTCTTTTCTGGTCAATTTATTGTCCAGACTCTGAACGTGACATTCCTCACCTACCTCCTGGTCATCACCTTGACCCTTTGCATGTTGGCTGTGCTTGAGATCAAATGGTCGGGCATTGCTTTGGAAGAGTGGTGGCGAAACGAGCAATTCTGGTTGATTGGAGGCACAAGTGCTCATCTTGCTGCTGTACTCCAGGGGCTACTGAAGGTGATTGCTGGGATAGAGATCTCATTTACCTTGACATCAAAATCTGCCGGTGATGATAATGATGATGACTATGCCGATCTCTACATCATAAAATGGTCATCCTTAATGATACCGCCCATTACAATCATGATGACTAACCTGATCGCAATAGCAGTTGGTTTTAGCCGGACAATCTATAGTGCCATACCCCAGTGGAGCCGTTTGATCGGAGGTGTATTCTTTAGCTTCTGGGTCTTAGCACATCTGTATCCCTTCGCAAAAGGATTGATGGGAAGAAGAGGAAGGACGCCAACAATTGTATTTGTATGGTCGGGACTTATTGCGATTACCATTTCCCTCCTTTGGGTTGCGATCAACCCCCCGGCTGGCAATAATCAAATCGGAGGATCCTTCCAGTTTCCATGACACGGCTCAACTGGTAAATACCCTTTCTTGTTTAACTGGCTGCCCTGTATTGGTTTGTTATCTTGCAACTTGAGCAGAGACTTGGTTTTCCATTTTTTTTCTTTTCTGTTTATCTCCCTTAAATCTTCAGTGAAAGATACATTCATTGTAATTCAGAAACTTGGGGAGTTGAAATAGTTACTATTCTTTCTTTCTTTTCAGTATATGCTAAGAGCTTTGAGAAAATTCATGCAAGAGTTGGTTTAGTTACAGAACAACATATTCATTAAAAAATATATTTAGAAACATAAGAGTAAAATAAAAAATAACAATAATAAGAGTTGAGGTTTTGCCATCCCTACTATTTTCACAAGAGTTATTAGAGTTGTATAAATGTACAGTCTCCTCACATGGGGGGATCTCGCAAATAAAATATTCAACGTAGGGTGAGAGGGCTGTGTAACTTGACTTGGTGTACGCAAGGGTGTACACCAAGTATTGTTCATTTCACAAAGAACGTGAAATTGATTTATGTGTAACTAGTTGTTGAGAGTAAGCAAGTTGCCTTCATTCAATAGATTTGTGGTTGAGTCGACAATGTTTGCTCTCTTTTTCATTTTTGCTTCTTCGTGTCCGTTTATATTGCAAAGCTGGTCATTGCAAGTTTAATAGATGAAAATAGGGGTACAATCAAAATAATTTTTATTTTTACTTTTTTCGATTTTCTTTTTTGTTGTCTAGTTTGAGAAATTGTTGACGTAATGGCTAATTTTGAATGAACCTAATATAAAAAGTAGTGATTTGATGACAAACAAAGTACTTACTATTTGCGTGTAACGTGAAATTGAGTTTGCAATTTGAGCAACTGAGAAAATTAAGGTGTAGAACATGAATTTAAATATTAGCAAAAAATAAAAAAAAAATGAAGGCTTTAAAATGTCGGAATAAAATACAAAATCAACAAACACATAATTTTGCAAAATTTAATGAAAATAGCTCGCAATTTTCATTTATTTTTTATTTGTTATTATGTAAAATTAAATTCATTAAATTAAAAAAGATGATAATTTTTTAAATCAATTATATCCCTTCAAATAAAAATAAAAATTTTACATTTTTCTTTACAGCCTATTCGGACAAAAGGTCACAATCACCTTTTACATGTGTTTATGTCAAAATGATTCACGTTGGTAAATATGGAACAATTGTCAAAACATTATTTGAGATGGTTTATCACTTTTTAATATTATTTCCCTATTAATTTGATTGCACAACAATACAGATATAGTGATTTTCTTTGTAATTGTTCAACCCAATAATTTAAATTTAAATACAAAAATTAAACATTAATCACTATAATCAAATGCTAAAAAGGACTAAATCACATGGGCTACAATCCGATCCAGTTTTCCCCTTATATCTGTCGCCAATTAGAGTGAAATTTTATTACAATACATTTTATTTATGAATAATTTTTCTTACTTTCATGCAAATTTTTACTTTTAAATGATTTATTATTTTTTTTTTTTTTTTACTTGTATTCAATTTTTTTATTCATAATTAACTTTTACTTGTACGCTAGTTTTAGACTCAAAAAGTTGACTCAAAAAGTTGACTATTGGTACAATGTACATCATATAATACAGTGTTTGATGTTACTCTATATAAAAATAATCTGCAAGTATTAAAATAGGGAAAGGCTAGAAGAACAGGGGGCTGACCGCCCCGTGACAGAAACCCCACAGATAGGAGGGGTCCCGCACGAAAAAATGGGACTCCACTCCCCTATTGTGGGGTTTCCGTCAGGGAGGCGGTCAGCCCCTCTATTTTCCCAACATTTCCCATTAAAATATCAATTAAACTACTTTGCCAGAATTTTTTTAACATAATGATTGACATCCTCCCACAACGCATGAACCCCACGTGAATAAAAAAGTCCAAAAAAGAAGTGAATCCCTCAATAATGTGAGTATCGATCATCTATTATGTCAAAAAATTATGTCACCATAACATTGTTAAAATATATGTATACATGAAATTTTCAGCTCTTGTATTCTTGTAAATATAAGTATATTACTATCTAAACCCACCATCATATAACGTATTAATTATATATCAATGGTTAAAGGAGGATAAGCACCAATTCTCTCTCCCAGTAGCATTTTCACAAACAATATTCAGCACACAAATGTAACATAGATTAAGGTCGTTACCTTCCTTGACAGAACGAGGGTAAACCTTAATTTTCCAGTTACATACCATCCACATTCCTCAACCATAAAACATTGGTTGAAATGAGAAATGATGGGTAAAATTTGAGCACGTTTTGACGCTAAAAACTCAGATTTTGATGAATTTTAAACTACACGCTACACAAATTTAGGTTTCCTGTAAACTATCGGTTAGGGTTAAGCCTTGTACTTCATTTTGGACGACTTAATTGAGCACTTTGAATATGCTCCGCTTGCCCAGAATTCTGAGAATCGTGGCCTGCATTTTGGTCATCCCGACTGGATATTGGATCTTCTTCTTCTGGAAATTCACCAAGTCTCTCCTGCAGAACCATATTTACTCAGTACAGAAATAAAAAAGAGAATTTACAGAAACATGTGGAACACTGTATCCATATCATTATATATTTTAGTGGAATCAGTATCAAACGTGATCATTTGCTTTATGCTTTCTTGCTTTGCAATAAGTAAAACTGTAATCTAAGCATTAGACAACACCTTGAGAGCTGCATTCTGAGCAAGAAGCTGCTCATACTCACTCCTAATACGAGTCACCTCTGCTCCAAGAGACGCATTTTCTTCTTTCATAGCTTCAGCACGCTGGGCCAGTACATCACATTCTGCCTGAGCCCCGCGTACAGAAACAAAAAGCATCAGGGATGAAATCATAACAGGCTAAGCGACTTAAAAGTCGGAAATAACTGTTTGACCTGTTTTCGCAGTCTGGATCGACGAGCTGATTCTCTGTTTGACTGCTTCCTTCTCTGTCTTTTGAGCTCTCTATCATCCTGAACTCGAGGAAAGGTAAAGGTGTTCGGTCATAACCACTGAAGGAGATGAATTAGGACAGATAAATTCTTCTATCATAACAAAGATAATGCAGATATCCAATTACACACCAGTGTTGCCCATAAGCAATTGCAAAATAGTCTATCTACAGGGTAATTACTACTGACATTGATCATTTTGCAGGTCCCCTCGCCTACATCTGCTCCCGTTGGATTTGATTTTTAATGGTTTTGCTTGCTTTGCATCTTTTCTTTACGTTCATTTGATTCTTCCCAACATTTACAGGTAGTGTCTGAAGGATGATAGAAACAAAAATGAATTGAAAAATGTTCTGTCTAAGGAACTGAAGTCAAGACTCACTTGTACTATAACATGTTACGCCCCAAAACTCAAACAGTGTCAGAAGACAACACTGAAGATGTAGGCTTAAGAAAATACTATTTTTTTCTATATTTTCACTACGCCAAAATGGTTATACTCATGCCACTAGTTCACTACCTCTATAGCACGGACACTTTAATTAAGATAGCATGTCCGTGTCTGACATGATACCAACACTCCTCGGACACTCTTACCATAAATATTTTTCACTGTTTATTAAAAATATTATATATTTTTAATTCAAAATTATTAGTAAATAACAAATAGGTACTCATATTTAAAAGATTTCGACCCAAAAAAAAAACTAATAACAAGTGTAAAACTAAATTTATGCTATATAAATGAAGATTTTTATAGATTTTAATCAACGTGTCATGTCGTTACTTTTTTGAAAAATCACGTGTCGACTCGACACGTATCGCGTCGAACACACGTATCCGCATCGGTGCATCATAGTTCACTACAGAAGCAACTTCCCCCAACCTTTCAGAGACTTGCATTCAGTATTATAGATGAATAGATTCAGAGTAAAGCCGTGGTAGTTACTAGCTGCTGCTATTTCAGAGACCATTAGATCAAAGATCAACATTTGTGTTTCAAAATTGTACTTGTTATATGCATGTTGACGTCCAAAAATAAAATATTTACCGCGTATGAAAAAAATTAGCTGGTGCTTATGAAATGTAATTCAATTGTCTCATTTCTGTGTTGGAGTTCTTTGTAATTGTTCCGGGAGAATTTTCAGATATTAAAAAACGAGTGGAGCAGATTAAGAAAACGAAAAGCGATCAAGTCAGTGCTATTGGAAAATAGTTAGTCTAGGGACTATCGACAATGTGAATGAATATTATTTTTAATTTTTTCTTGTGAATGTTCTCTAACTTGGATTGAAGTATATAATAACAATGGTGGACGTGGGCCTTAATCAGCATATGCCTCATCTCACGAGACATCAAAATACGTGGCCAATCGCAATTTCCTGTTATAACATTGACAGGTCAATGTAAAGACATGTAGATTTATTAACTTCGTCATAATGTGCGAGTCCACAAAAGTGGAATGTACCATGCCATAACAAAAAAGCTAGATAAGCAGGTATTGTTGCCACATTCTATGTTCAACAATAAAACCCTGCCTACAAAAGCATATTAATTCAATTGCAGCAAGTGTTAACGGCAAAAGGAAAATATAGTAATGTATTCGGTTAAAATCAACATTAACAATCAGATAAGCTGTGTAGCTTGAACTCAGGTGCGTGTGTCGGATACGGGTATATATACTAGGAGTCAGATTCTTTTCTATTCTATATAAACACTAGAATATGGGAATAAAGCGAAAAAGGATTCAAATTTCGGACAAGGGTATGTGGGTATGTCTTGAGAGAGTATACCAAAGGGAGAGTGGTCAAATACCTCCCTTCCCCACCCACTCACCCCAAATAAAAGTACATACACATACTAATATTTCTATTAAGTTAGGAAAAAAAGCGCATTCACAATCACACATACATAAGTAAACAGAAACAAAAATTACACATCCAAAGAAGTAAACACAACAGCAATTTTCAGGATCATTTTAACACCTAATACTGGAACTTATTTATGACCATTCCCTTTGTTTGTTTCACAGATTTACTCTACCTTTTGGAATAGACCCCATTTGCAGATGCTCCTGATGTTTTACCGGGTTCAATGTTCTTTCCAGTAATCATGTTCAAAGAGCCCAAACGTCCCTTCGATCTTTTGATGGGAAGTTTTTCCTTCCCCTCAGATGACTTGCCATCCAACTCCATGTTTCCAGGTGTGTTGCCCTATTATTAAATATAAAACATTGTCCAATTAATTTATGGAAAGGCTCAATCAGTAGCAGCAATGGAAATAGTGCACATTCTTAGAAAGAAAAAAATGTAAAAAAGGAAGGGAAATCAAAGGGTGAAGACAACTCACAGAAGCTTCAGCAATACCATTTGGAGAAGACATGGCAAAAGGACTGAAAGGATAAGACCCCTAATTTAGTTTAAAGCAGAATAAAAAAGAGTTAGGCCCAGTTGAGGAATATGATTTTAAATAAAACTAAAACAACATAATCAACAAGAAAATACCGGAGGCATAGTTGGATGTGCATATATACCCCCATGAGGATACATAGCGACATATGGATGTGGAGGAGTACCGTATGGTGGCATAAATTGCTGTAAGATAAGTTCAAATAAAAATTAATGAATACAACTTGGGGAACATAAAGTCTAAAGGGTATAGGTATAATAGAATAGGAATAAAAAATTAAACCAACATAAAAAATTCTAGAGACTCATCTCTCTGAAGTATCAAGGACAAACCAAAAAAAGTGGTTTAATATGCTTCAATGCATGATATTCATCCCTTCAAAATGTCAAGTAGCGAAATTCTCACCAAAGGTCTTAAAAAACGTCCATCTAAACCCAAAATTATTAAGCTGCAAATGGTGGTTGTATTTGAGCCAACTTGAGGGGGAGTGATGAAAAGGCCGGTATGTACACTCACGGATAGCAAATCCCGTAGCTGGTAAACTATCAATTGTTACCTATTTTAAAATACTCTTGAGTTTTTGGCTGTTAAGGGAATATAATTAGTGATTTCCCACATTTCCCATTTTTGCAAATTATTTATTTCCTACTATGTAACCCTAGAATAGGACTATATGTGTTGTAACATTTCCTATCTGAAGACAAAACGATATTACCCAATTTGCATCAGAGTTTGCCACTGTGAGAAATTACCTAACAGTACTTTGATCTTTTCTTGCCCTTTAGAGGGATCATAAATTTTCTCTCCTAATGTTTCTTATTATTCCTCAAAATTATTTAATGGCAAATTAAAATGAGTTAGAAATTAGTTGCAAGGAATTCATATATGCAGAACTGGCGACATGGGTATTATATGGTTGAGAAAATTATTCATTGAGAATTTAAAAAAGAAAAAGATGTTATATGTGTGGAGGAAGATTATTGTGGTGTCTACAATAACATAGAGTTATAAAGCTAGTGATTCACAATAAACTAGGGATGAGACTTATTAAAGCATATATCAAGGTGTAATCTACAGACCTCACAAAACTATAAACCACTCAGAAAATTAATGGAAAAGTAAAGAGGAAGTGCAAGATTTGAAAATGATGTCTATTGATTTAGAAAAAGCATAGCAAGAGTGCATAAGAAAATGTTATGGTATGTGACGAAGAGAAAATGAAAGTTCATTAGATATGTCAACATCATTAAGGACATGTATGATGAAGCAATATGTGGTGGCCATAGTACACACAACTACAAGCTTATACCAGGATTCTATCTTAAGTCTTCATTTCTTTACTTCATCATGGATAAGCTTACAAGACATACCAAGAATAAGGTTCCTTGATGTATGTTATTTGCTGTTAACATATGTTAAGCAGAATTAGAACTAAGATGGAGTACATGAAATGTCCTTTTAATCATAATCGAAATAAGGATGATGATGAAGTCTATAGAGGACTATGTTTAATGTTTAAGTTCAATTAAAACAAGGACAAGAAGAGAATCAAAAGCATATTATTAGATTGGGTAGCATGACGTAGAGAAGTACACAGGAGTTTTATGTGGTAGAAAAAACCCCCTAGAAGGTTAAAAATAAGTTTATGAAATGATTATTGGACCAGCAATGCATTTTAGTAAGTGTGTTGGGTTGTCAAAATGTAATTTTGTCCATATGATAAGGGGAAATATGTAAGATGAATGAGGCGTACCAGAAAAGATAAGATAAAGAGTATTTATGCTAGCAAAGGGAGGTGACACTAATTGAAGATAACTTGAGAAAATGATAATTAGATAGTAAGGTCACGTCTTACAGACCTAAAAAAGCTTTCGTTCACATTAGTGAATAAATCATATTAAAACAGTGAAAAAAAGGAATATATCAAAACTGATACAATCTGATGTGTTTGCAAGGTATATGATTACACTGGATTTTCTTGTTGATGCAGCAATCAGATCCAGTGGCCAAATAAAAGTCTTGTTTTTCTTCTCTCCAACTCATTGCAACCTACACACGTCTTCCCAAAATAACTTCATACATCATCAAACCACTTATTCTTCAAATCCAACCATTAATTCTAAATCTTCGAAACTTACAACAAAACTTCTGTAACATACAAAGAGCCTAGGGCTACTGCTCCCCTAAACGGTCCTAATAGTGTCCCAAATCCTTCGGAGATATAGGGAAAAATGCATTCTTTTCTCAAAACTTTCAGAACAAACGTCAATTCTCTTAATAATCCTAATATACTTTTATACTATTCCTTCCTCCCCTAACCTTGCATCATCCTCCAATACCACCACCTTTCCTCTCCCATACAGCTACCTACCCTACTCCCTGCAACTGATTTTCCTCTCCCTCCTCCTTCCCCCCATTTTTTTTTTCTCACAGCTCTCCATCTCATTTCCTCTATTTTTCTTCCTTCTATTTTGGAGTTCAGCAGCCCTGGTTACAAAAAACTGCGTAGGAAACAGGATAGGGACACAGGGGTTATGGAGACCAGGGGAGGGGGGCAACAAGGGCAGAGTCAGCATCAGAAGGGGGACAGGGGATAGCAAGGGTGGGATGGGGTCAAGAAAATGATGAATACGAGAAGAACAGTAAGGCTACACAAGACATTTGATGTCAAAAGAAAGCCTTTTTTAAAACGAAAAATTTTCAAACTTGGATTTTTTTCAATTTGACTAGTGAAAGGGGAGAATAAAAACCAACCCCGTTCCATATCAAGCACAAGATCTAATAAACTACCATCAGGCATCAAGTTGATGTAATGCCCACCACATTTTCAACTTTCCAGAGTTGTCCTACCTCACAGGGTTATCTATAAGAACAACATGATCGGATTCTCCAACTAGATGGACGCTCTTATGCTCGGACTCTTCGAAATAGTCGGAGTACCCGTGTTGGACACGACACATGGGTATGGAATATGTGTCGGATCTTTCAAGTCTCAATCGGAAACTTCGTCGTTTTAGCTTCTTCTTCTTTCTTCCTTTTTTTTTCTTTTCCTTTCCTTTCCCTTCTCTTTCATAGTTTTGCTCTATTCAAACCTAGCGTCGCCGCCGAGAGGGTGGAAAAAGGCGGCGGCGCTAGTTTTTCCTTCTTTTTTTCTTCTTTATTTTTTCTTTCCAATTTCTTCCTTTTTTCCCTTCTTTCCCTCTCTGTATCGATGATTTAAAGTTTTGTTTGTATAAAATGAAAATAGGTTTCATATAGTACTTCACTAAGTCGAAATTGCAATCAAGTCCCTCATTTTTTTATTTTATATAACAATTAGTAATTTCCATAATTAAAAACTAAACCCCAAATTTCTATTTTATTCGTCTTTAACCCCTTATCAATAGCCATTTCTTTCTTTGTGAATAATTGATTTTGTCTATTCAATATGATATTTTGGATTAATAAAAAAATTGAAGTTTGAAAGACGTATCCGTGTCCTAAATTTGGACTCTTTTCAACCATGTCCCCATATCCAACATTTTAGAAAATAAAAAATCCTATGCTTAGATACGTACCCATTCCCGATGCCCGTACCCGAGTTTGAGCATCATATAATGGAGATCATAATAAGAATATAAATAGAGATAGATTTCAATTAAGATTTTATAATAAGAATTTCATTTAAAGTATAATTCATTTAGATTTGATTAGATTAGTTTTGATATATTGATATTATTAGAAGTTTATTTCCTTTGAACTTCTTTCAGCTTATTTGCTCCACAAATAGAGTGGCTTATTCAATGTAATAGACAACCTTGATATATGAATAAACATTGATTTTCCTCATACCCTCAATTCTTCTCTTCTTTGCACCCCTTTCTCTTCTGATACTTAATTGTTCATTGTCAAATTATGCGCATCCTGTGTCACTACTTCACAGGCTTTCAAATAAGAATGTTATATTATTTGGATTCTCAATCAAAACTAGCCCCCAATAGATGAAAATAGCAGAATTTCCAACAAGAGGTCAACAAGACGACAATTTTGGTTAGGAGACCATTGAGAAATGTGTAGGGACACACTTCCTTAGAAATGTGTAAGACACAGTTTACAAGCAACCAGGTAAAACATATGGTCCACGTAGACAAATGAAAAAGCTCAGTAAAAGTAAGTAGTCAAGTTGATCGGCTGAATTAAACTTACTACATTCTTATTTTTATTTTTCCTTTTTCAGCTTTTTAGTTAATAAATTTAGATTTCTTTTGTTGAGCAGAATTCCCAGTAGCTTTATGATGAATGTATGTGACAGTTGGCATGCATCACCTACTGAGCCAATACCAAACGTAAATAGGAAAATATACCTGAATTCCCCACATATACGGGTGTGCCTGAGGACTTGACGCCAAGAATCCAGTTGGAGGCATTGGAGAATATGCCTGCACAAATAACCAACACCCTATAATAATAATAAAAAAGGAGGCATAAAGTCCAAGTGGCTTTCGTTTAGAAACTTAAACCTGAAAGCCAGACCAGTCGCCAGTAACCGTGCCTGAGGCCGTAGCTGAAGGCTGCTCCTAGAAATTCCCACCCAAAAATAACAAAAATAAGTAACTGAAAATTTTCATTTCTGCTATTGCTACAAGCCTACAACTAACATGCATGAAAAAATAGTCCGTGTATCATATTACCTGTAAAGTAGGAGTTTTGGGCTCCTTTGCTTCCTTCCCCTCCTTAGAGGATTTGTCCATCTCATTACTACCCATGGTTTCAACTATGCGACCTCCTCAAATATCAAAACCATGCTGTTACAGAAACATTACAGCCATATTCAAAAAGTTCAATAGAATCACCAATTTAGAGTTCAAATAAATATGCATAGATATCTAGATGCATTAACACTTGGGGAAAAAGACAACTCAGTTAAAAAGTTAATTTGAAAATTGGTCCATTAAAGATATGGTTTAAATACTTAGCCCCTGTTTGGTGGGAGTTAGAATCAGATTTGTAATACATTTTGTTAAAAGTTGATAAAATGTGTGGTTAAAAAGTTGTGTGACTCATCAAATATATGGCTAAAACTAATTGCTAACTTTGACTAAGATTAAATCTAGTTTTGAATCCCTACCAAACATGTGCTTAATTTTTGAAAGCCATTTTTCGACCCCAAACGTTTTTGGGATGCCACTAATAAACAACAAATGATAAGTGTTTTTCCTTGAGGGGAGCGATTCTTAGAGGCTATTCCACGAGGTTATATTCCCACTTCAGTCAATCGGAAAGACAAAACAAGGGAAATTTTCTCAGGGGAGCACCCTTTTCCAGGTAATGCAGAAACCATTTTGGCACCTTATCAACAAGAAATAAATCTTTTTCAAGCCTCAGAAATGCTAAGATGTAATACTATACATACCTGTTCTCTATATCACATATACACAAATAGATTCTACTGAGAGCCTAAGGACAGGACATTCTAGTGATAATTCTTCATATGTTTAGATTAAAATGAACACTGTTCGAGCAAATATAATAGCTATCAACTCATTTTCCATGATAGTCCATCATTACACAAAGGTTTCCACAAAACATAAACCAAAATATGAAAATTATGCTTGGAAGTCACATAAGTTTACACAGACACAAAAAGTTACATGTACAATCATTCGCTTACCTTAAAACGAAATAAAATAAAATAAAATAATAATATTTTAAACACTCGAAGCCTAAGATAATCGTGAAACTCCACATAAGTATTAAAATGGTTAAAAACGAAAAAAGGGCTGCGCTTGATGAAGTTCAAATACAAATTACCGAAAAAAAAAACCAGCGGTGACTCGGTGAGTCTGAACACAATGAGTCAATTTAGCTACACAAAAAAGCTCAAAACGACCTTTTCTTTAACTACAAAGAATACCCAGATGAACGTATACCCAAAACGATATATCTACAAAGAAAAATGGTGTATATATAATTGGCAAAATTCAATTTCTGGGCAAAACATATGGAAGCTTTGACGTTGAAGAGAAAGTAAATAAATTTCTGAAAAAAAAATTATAGAGAAAATTTTAGGGCTTTGTTTGCTAGATCGTCGACATGGTTGTTTGTCGTTGTCCCCACAATTTACAGAGAGATGGGAGTAGCTGAACTGTTGGCCGTGCATATATCAAGTAGGTTGATGATCGTGATCAGATCAACGGCTGAGATGATTTGATGTGCCGTTACTGTATAACGAATAGCCATTTTGTACAAATGGTCCCTCACTTATGGGCCCCCGTGTGATTTCAGTCCCTTCTCGTTTTCTCTTGGCACCTATTGCTGCAAACATGAAATATCTGATCTAATGCTCCCTGTGCTTGGTGGATTTTTTTTTGCTCTTTGGACTTCTCATGCATCTTAATAGATTAGCTCTCATTTCTCATGCATGCCAAAAAGGCGACGTCGGATGTATGAAAGTCATCTAATGATCGAATTAAAATAAAAGTAGATACATATATAACTCTGTCTATTGAAGATAAATTTTCATTTCTAAATTTCACTTTGATTTTCATTCTATTAACGGATTGCTTTAGAAATATTCAAAAAAAAAAAAAAAAATTCATTTTCTATAGAATTGTATGTTTTATTCATTATGTTATATATTTCCATATTAGCTATTTCGCATAAAAGGAAAAATCCATCAGCTATCGATTTCAATAAATTAAACATACATTCTTAACAAAATTTTAAGTTGCAAATTTACTCAAACAGTTAACTGGTATCAAAAAATATTTTAATTGATTTTTAAAATTTTTATTCGTTAAACAAAATATTAATTAAAAGATAGCAATTAGCAATTAAGAATTTTTATTTGTTTTATAATGTTTGAAGGAACAAATGAAGTATTTTTTATATTTACAATATTTTATTAACTTATTGAAACTAAATTTTATTTTAATTTTAGGAAATGAAAATTTTATTTCTATAAATCTATAAAAAAAAAAAATACACCCTTTAGAGAAAAAAATTGATGAAAAATAAATATATAGAAAATGGTGTGCAAAAGTTACATAATGTAAAACATAGGGTTTGAGTGATATTTTAAATAATGGTATTTTGTTTGTTCAACTATTTATAACTGAAATAAAACACAATTTTTAGAAATCGTCTGGTAATTCTCAACAACGAAATCGATCTCAAGAATGATTATTCGATTTCAAAGTAATAAATATAATTTCGATATTTTAATGTCAAAGTTCTCATTCAAGAAATTTTACATCAAAGCTTATAGCATATTTGTAGCGACAAAAAAAAAAATGTTTTACTTCATTTCAAAATAAAATTATAGAACTCGAATATGGGTTATATTACTACGTCGCTACGATACTTTCTTAAAAGTTCAAATTAAAATTTTGGTCATGATAGTAAAGTTTCGCATACCTTTTTTTTTTAAAAAAAATAAAATAAAATTGTAAGGCGTTGAAATCTTTTTAGATGATAAATTTTATTTTGTTACATTATTTTGACGACGCTTTATATTAATTGCTACCTCTATTATGTCCTTAAATTTTAAAATTAGATACAATTATTGTATTGTAACAAATAACTCAAATTCGACCATGTTATTTTAATTTCTTCTCACACTTAACAACCTATATTTTGATTTTTCTCTACTAAAGCACCCCACTTAAATTTTTTTACCACCTAACATCTATTTTGGTTAGTTGCAGAAACTGTGACTCTTCATTCCATTTAAAGATACATTTTTGTGTCCTATTCTAATGCTACCCACTAAGTGTACTTCCCAACTTCCCCCACTCCCCATTTCACCAATTTTAACTCCCATTTCAGTTAACTGTCTATCCATTTTCATTTGGTATTGAAAAATAATAATTATCCCACCTACCATTTTGATTTTCGTTTTGTAAACTGCCAATTGAAAAATCAAATCGCAGCTCCCATTTTAAATACATTGCCAACCGTCATTTTCATTTGAAATTTAAAACAATAACCTCCCACAATTTCTAAAGGCACATTTTCTCTCTCTATTATACTCATGCATGAAATTATTTTCTTCCATAGACATAAAGCACCTTGAATCTGAAAATTATTTGAAGAAGAGGCATAGAAGTACGCTGCATTTTAGTTCAATATATTGAATGCAAAAAGGGTATTCAAACTCCAAACATTAAGGTAGGAGTATTTCGACGCTTTTGTAAGTAATGTAAAATTTATATGTTTTCGTTTTCATTAAACTTCTTATTGTGTTTCTCATGATAGAATCACCGTTTGGTGGTTTATACAAGATATGAAGAGATGATTATGATAAATGAAACGGGGTTATCAAAATCTACAAGTAAGCAGACTGACTGATCACCAATTCGCCTGAAATAGACGGTGACACAATCGAATAAAGTTTGCATTTCTGAAAATATATATTTTTACAATTTACTTAAGTGCTTCCTACTGAGTATTATTTATAGTACTCATCCCTACAAACAATTTTACAGTTTAAAATCGAGGCATGGCAGTGATTGTCATAGTGGCAAGTGTTCGGCAATTTGAAATGCTTTCAACTTCTAGTAAAAATTTTCATTTATAAAAACATTTTATGGATACTTAGATGACACTTTTTAGAAATGCTTTTAATGATTATTTTGTCTAGTATCATAGATAATGCGTGTTAACTAGAATTTAGAAGTGGTGGATTGAATATATATGAAGTTTAATTTATGCTGGGTTAAAATTTCAGATTATGTTCTCCTATTTGAAAATGGTATTACTTGGGCTACGGTGCATGTTTTTAATTGAAATCAGTATGGTTTGAAAGGTCTATGAGTTTTTTAATAGTGGCCTTTGGAATTTCTCAAAAATATTATCTAAAACAAAAGTTTATGCCCGTTTTAGTAAACCGTGTCATGTCAAATCCGAGATTCCTGTCCAGCATATTCGAGTAATATTTCGTGCTTCAAATGTTATCGTCGAGACCCCAAATTTTTATATGTGCTACATACATGAATGCTTTAGTCCATGTAAAAATTTCATAATTTTTAATAAACATTTGCTAGGCCAAATATTTCTTTCTTCCGTTGTTGTTAAATCCATAATTACTTAATTGCCTCCAAATGTTTTTCAAAACAAAATTTCGCCATAATTGCCTAAGTTTATATGAATAACTATCTCTCATTATTTTTTTATATGTGTCAAAAACCAAAAACTTTCTAATTTATAAAATACTTTGGCTAACGTCAAAGGGGTCGACCAAAAAATGAAATGATTATTTTTAAAGCTTTTCCAAAAATTCGGGACGTTACAATATTGGTCTTAATACAGAGCATATTTTAATTTAGGGATTGGTCTCTAACCTGTGAGATTGCTATGCAAATGGTCATTTACTTTCATATTTTGACTAACTTCATATCTTGACGCACACCTTCACTACCTTTCGGTTAATATGAAGTGGTCCTAATAGAAGGTTTCCATTCAATTGGCATTAAATTCTTGGTTAGAAGACTGAAATGCCCCTGCTTTTAGTAAAATAATATGTCAAAAAAAAGAAAAGAAATTAATGATAAAAAGGAAAAAAAAAATGCATCCGATCAGTCAATCTATTAGATTTAGAGCATTTCCATGCAATGGTAGATCACTTTAAAAATTGTACCATATAATTGAAATAGAAAATATGTACTCGTCTAATGCAAGATTATAGACATTCTATGCGCAATAGAGAAAGAAAAAGGAAAATAGATTTTTAAATATTTTCAATCTATGTGACATTCATGTCTAATGTGTAAACTCCTAATTTCAAAATTAATTTTTAATCTATTCTATAAATTGCTCTACAAGTGTTTTTATTTTCTTAAAATAATAAAAAATTACTTTTAAATCTGCATGGGAAATATAATTTTATTAAGCCCTTGTTCGAACCCATCATTTGCTAAGAATGCATTTTGAAATGATAGATTAATGGAAAATGTGTGGTTAAAAAATAAGAAAATGTTTTAAATTTGCTTATAATATTATTTTATTGAAAAACATGTCATTGAAAAAAAGAGAGAAAAATATATTTTAAAAATAATGAGAATCAAACAAGAGCTTTGTTAGCATATCTAATAGAGCTTTTGAATTTATATTGAGATCTAGAAAATATATATTTATGTTTGTCCTGTTATTATGACATAGTCCCTATTAACTTGCATTAAAGATGAATTTTATTAATATGGCACAATTTATTAAGCAATTCACATTCGCATTGGAAATGTTTTTGTGAGGGATTGGTTAGTAGGATGATCTGCAGCCATGGTGCTAAACCTTTTTTATTTTGTTGCATATTTGATCAAAACCTTTCATTTGTATTACCTACGGTACGAAACCTTTTAAATATTTGCATTCGGAGTCTAAATTGATGGAAATCGTTAGTTCATCTGTTAGCTTACCAAGAGTCAACATTTTGACCAAATTGTGACTAATTTTTAAAAGATAAAAAGATAACTTTAGATTTTTCATACTAAAGAATTAAAATAATTAAATAAAAAGCCGAGAATAAAAAGGAAAGAAACTGAAAAATTCTTCTTCTTCTTTCCCTATCCCATTCCCAAGCCCTCAAAGTCACCTTCTAGTGCTTCCACCGCCAATGCCAACACCACCACCATTCATCGTCTACGAATCTATTTAGCTTGCTATTGATGCACCAAACTATAACCAACAACCATTTTTACTCGTGCTTCATTCACCATCCATTTCATCTTAGAGGCATCAACTCATAAACCATCAACGGCATCTTGGAAGCATCAACTCATGAACCACAATCTTAGGTTAGAAATGTATAGATCTTGGCTTAAATCAATTTGATCTTGTTTGATCTTAAACTGGGAATTCCTTATTTTAGAAAATTTGAATATGAGTAATCGAGGAGGCGCGTCATCTCATATAATATTCAATTGTGATATAGATTCCAACAATTCAATTTGATTACCCAATAATTTCTCCATTGATTCCTTTGTTATTCACTCAGTTCCGTGTTGAAAAAGTATGTGATATTATTCCAACCATTCAAAAATGGTGGATTGTTTAGAAAAATGCTCAAAAAAGAGTTGTGGAATCCATGTTCAAATTAACTGGAGCCATCATGACTTATACACAACATTGAAGGCTACTGTAGGC